ACTGCTTGCGGTTTCGGGGGGGTAGCCTCCCTACCGGCAGGCTATGAAACAGAAGATCGACTTGTTAGATGTGGTGAAACTGCTTGCGGTTTCGGGGGGGGGGCGCTGCGCCCTCCCCCCCGAGCCCCCCCTCCCGCTCTTTTTTTTCTATACCGTTATGCGGACCGCTGCCGAGGATGCTGTGGCGGTTGTCACTTTGGTTGAAGCAGGCAGGCTGCAAAACTGAAGGACGTGCATGCTGCAGGATCATGTTGTGATGTTGCGTGCTGCTGCGCCCCCCCCGCCCGCGCTTGGACCGCGGAAAACTGCTAGATGTCCATGCTGAGAAGGAAGCTCGACTTGTGAGATGCGGTGAGCCTGCTTGCGGCTTCGGGGGAGAGGCGCTGTGCCCTCCCCAAAGCAGCGCTCGCATCAGCTCTTGCATACGGCGACGGAAAGAAGCTGTCGCAGAAAACACCGGTCAAACAAGCTGTCGCAGAAAACACCGGTCAACCGTTGCAAAAAACACCGGGCACCGTCGCAAAAAACACCGGGTGGCGGTCACTGACGCAAAAAACACCGGTCACAGCTTGGAAAAACACCATACAACATAACTGTCTGGAAATACCCTGATTACTGTTGCAATTTACCCTAGTCCCCCAGAAACACCAAGAAAGGAACAACAGACTGAAGGAAGCAACATCGTGTGTTGAGTGTTGCTCCAGAGAAAACATATGCGGCACTGCTTCTGCGGCTGTTTGCCGTTTTGTTTGCAGTTTTCTGCATGTGACGTTTTGCCAGGGCGCACACCGCCGGTGTTACGTCGTTTTCTGGTTTGACCGCATATGGAGACTCATGAACCACCTGAAATGAAGGCTGAACGAGGTATTGTGGGAATAACTCGAGTGCAGAATGCCCACGGCGCCACGTGGGCCTCCCATTGGGCGTGCAGCTCCACATCTTCCTCTGCGGTGCATTGTGACGCCAAGGCAGTTGTCACGTGGCTCCGGGCCCTTAGTCGCGGCAGGGAGGGAGGGAGAGAGAGAGAGAGAGAGAGAGTTACAGTAGTTAGAGTTAGACATGAAGAGGGGATTGATGGTGGGTTTCATGATGTTGTTTCGCAGTAAGCATAGATATGTATGTATATATATATATACATATGCTTGTGCAAGTCCAGTCTATCACAGTCTATATATATATATTACAGTCATGCTCCGAAACAGACATGAAGACACACGCAACAAAACGACGTGTGGTGGGCCATGCGGGACACGTTGGGACACTGGAGGTTTTCAATGCCATTGGCCCTGAAATCCGCACGTCGCTCCAAAGGCCCTGAGGCTGGCAGTTGGTGCAGGCGCTGTTAGAATCGATGGTGCGCCGCGCAGGAAGCGCAACGGGCGAGCGCACCACGAAGCGAAGCACGTCCCATCTGTTCAGACCCATGGCGGGGGGCATACAGAAGACCCATGCAACACCTGCGTGGCGGCGATGTCCAATGAGATTCCCAAAAGTTGTTGCAATCAACACATTCAATAAGAAAACGATGGCAACCACCAGCCATCACTCTCAACAACCCATCGCTGCCGCAAAGAACCAAAAACCTTAAACGTTGTTTTTGAGTGTTGGCTCTCGTTGCTGAAACCGCCCTGAAACCGCCAAAAATCGCCAAACACCTGCCTTTTTCTCTCAAACTCGCCAGGAGATCAATCGACAACTCCTCCGAGCACCGGCAGCATTGGTCTCATCCGAACGAAACAGCGAGGGTTCGACCTCGCCCGGACGCCCTGGGGGAGCAAAAGGCCAGCTGGGGTACGTGGGCGGGGTATGCGTACGTTGTTTCTTGGGAGGAAACAAAAAGTTCGACCGAAGAATAGAGTGAGCTGACTAGTGAGCTGGTAAGCTATGATTTCTTTAAAATGATTTTTCGTCTCTTAGAAGAGTCATGAAAAATGTGTGATGAGACAAACAGGCTAGTGTCAAAAGGTGATACGACCATGCATGTTTAGCATGTCAGAACTATCAGTGGGCGCATGAATCAAGTAGAACTCATCACGCATCAATTCAGTGGAACCAATTTCATGCGACACTCATGGGCGACCCCTGGTGCTTCGACGACCCCTGGTGCTTCGGGGAAGCACCGGGTTTTTCGCCCACGAGCCACAGAGATGGACGGCTTCTCCGATATGTATGAGATCCTTTCCCATGTGTTCGAAGCAAATGAGAACGAAGTTGAGAACTACAGTATTTAAAAAATATAGCGTCGGAATGCATTCTCCCTTGCACCTGCGGAGAAACTGCGTGTTGAATAGCTTCCGTGAGACCTGAACAGTTTGATTCTTGGAAGGTGTAGTCTCGTCCACAACAATGCACGGCATTGTTCTTTTGCCCCAGCTGGCCGGGCAACTCCCATATCCATCGGAACTGCTTTGTTTGCCTCGCTTGGAACGGCATCAGTTGGCCAAACGGTGACCTGGTTTGTGGGAGCTTGGAATAAGTTTTTGGATAATCCCACGTGGAGGTTCTTCCAGTGAATGAAGATCTCGAGTGCATTTCTCACAGCTCATAGCTGCAGGATAAGAAATAACAGACAGGTACAAATTCTCCCAGCACATCTATGAGTGTGATTGTCTTGGCTCCGGTCTATACCATTCTATAAGTGCCGGACAAAGCCTTGTATCTAGGCCGAAGGACATAGCCTAGAATGGGTTGGCCCCCATCGCTTACAATCGCTCATGCAGGGTAAAGGGCATCGGTAGACGGGTCGGCGATGCAGCTTTTGTTCTGTTTTTCCACGTCCACCCTTTAGTCTTCGCAGATTTTGTTGGATGTATCATGATGTATCTAATTACTGTTCCAGTTGGTCAACTCTCCAGCCAGGAATTCCAAAGCCTTCCAACCAAGGCTGGAAGGCCTTGGATGCACCTGCTCCAAGGCTGTCTGAAGTTTGTCCGATCTCCCTCACTGAGCTCACCTCATCTCGAACGTGGCATGCCATAGCTTGGTAGCTCTGTGCGGTCGCTCTGTGCAGCATCTCTGACAAACCCGAAATGAAGGCTGATCAAGCAGGGCATCTCCAATTTCGATCCGACACGATCTAATTAGCTTCGAAGAAACCTGCTTAATTAGCTTCTATCCGCTTGACCATCCGATGTCTGCTCCGCTTCGATCAACCTTCGCCACTAAAAAACCACTTCGCACGTCGCGCCACTCATCACGCATCCTCCCAGTTTCCGCATGGCTGGAGTCTCGGAGACTTCCGAAAACGGAGGTGATCCGCTCCCCGCGGTGAAGCAGCGAAAACAAACGACGTGCGCAGACTGTAGACTGTGAAATAGAAGCATTTGCCGAAATCGTCAGAAACGCAATATCGTGCCACCGTGCAGTTGATCAGAAGCAACTTACTTGGGGCTATTTGATGCTATGATGACAGACAGAAAATGCTAGGTATGTATAGCAATATATAGCTGCTTCAAAAGGATCACCCGAGAGCAGGACATCCTAGGAGTCCTGCAAGGGGAAGATCTGTGTCCCCTGCGCCCGTTTGGGCCAAATCATAGTTGCGCATGGAAGTTGGATAGATCATAGATCCAACTGAAAGCACGTCTTCCAAACAAGGACAAAGAAAAAAAACAAGAATCAGGTGTCAGGCTCAGTCTCGACCAGCACTGGCCGTTCTTGAATTGTGGCCGCCATGTGGGCCGTCTGGCGGCCTCAGATGGAATGGTGATGTCGAACCGATGGTGTCCTTGCGGCATGAAGAGTGGTTTAGGCAAACGCCGTCTGTCTGTCTGGTTGATGCGTCCACCTCTTCGACACCAAACTTCGATCCACCTCTTGGGATCCCCGATCCGTGCGGGATTCGGTTTGGGCTTCGGATGGAGTGCCATGAAAGAACGTAGGCTCCGGTCTTCCAAAAGACCTGGCATGAAAGGGTAGTATGCAGCAAATCAGTTGTCAGTTGCTGAGGATGGTGGATCCAATATAAATAACACCCGGAAGCCGCGGCCAAGGTGACGACCCCAGTTCTCACGAGCTACGAAGCGCTTGCCACCTTGTGCCCCGGAAAAACCCACGCAAACCCACCCCCCACAACGCCCACTCCGAACCACGCGTGGCGCCCGGTTGAGGCCGGAACCTCAGGGCGGCACTTCCACCACGTCCACGGCGGGCGCGGCCGGCGCGGCCGCAGCGACGGCCACGACGGGCGCCGGCGTCGGCTTCCTCATCGTCGTCCACTCGGCAAAGACGGACCGCGGCTTCCGCGCCGGGCCGACGGGCTTGAAGCCCATCTTCTCGTAGAAGCCTGGCTGTGGGGCGGAAGGATCAACTCAAGAAAGTGTCCATTGTTTTTAAACATGTTAAAACCATTTCCCAAACAACTTGTCTTATATATATAACTTAATTGATTCTATAATTGATTTATTTTGGGATATCTTGGTTGATGTGCTTGAACTCCGGTGGGTCAAAACTTGATTGTCAAGTGGTTTACCAACTTGGGCTAGCCTGGCCAGCCTTGTCCAGCATTTTTTTTGGCGAGGTCTTGGGCATCGCTCGTCTTCGGTGTGACTTCATCGGAATGGAATTGCGCAGCGAAAACAAAAAATGGGTGGCCGTGGGAAGCTCAAGCAGCTTACTCTTAAAGTCTAATCGTGAGCAGTAAACAAAATGTTTGATACCAAAAAGGAACAACACCGGAGTTGCCATGATCTGGACACAAGAAACCCAACAAGGATGAGACTGCAACACCTGCTTTCTCCAAGCTGAACCCACCAAATTCAACTATTTTGGGGGTCTCCTCGACTCCTTCCCATAGGCCCCTTGCATCCCCGAGGCACCGATTGCATTGTTCTTCAACGCCACGTTCAAATACATCCTTAGTCGACACAATGGGAGCTCTGTGTCCTGCGAAGAGTCGTGCGAATGGTTCCGAGCACACCGGCAAACGCGTGGAAGACTCATTTCACCGTACATGAGATTCCAGGGTCTTTCAGTGTTTGCACTTCTTTCGGTTGAACTATGCTCTGGTCAGGGTTTTGAGACAAGAACCACAACCAGTGAATGATGGATTGACCACCCAATCAACGACCTTTCTTGACCTGTTGAATAATGAGGTGGATTTAAAACCGCCCAGTACAAAGTCTTCCCAATACGGGTGACACTGAGGATCTGCAGGATAGTCTCCCTCATCATATATCCTCACCCATCAAACCACCTGAACTAACCCACTGCTGCTTCCACTTTTTCACTCGCTCGTGAAAAACGATTGGAACCAAATTATATCTAATACTATTACCACTGGATATGGAGAAACAAAGCTGGTGTTTGTTCAACCGGTTTTCTCCCAAGGCTCTCTTGAAAATTCCAGCCCCTGGCGCGCGCGGATTGGATGCCGCCCTCAATCAACATCCGCGCTAGACCTTTCCGCTGCATCTCACGTTGCACCTGGCGGCGTGCAGCGACATGGAGGTCTGGTTTCACCCGACCGCGACATGGGGGTGTTCATAACACTGGTTTCTGTTTCGAATAGAGGATCTATCTATCGACCAAGATTGCTACATGATTATGTGAAGATCTCCACCCGCATTGCTACTGACAAGGTATCGGCCAATATCTCTATATAATTTGATTGCAGTTGTGTATCTTGTGTACGCAGCTCAGACCACAACGATCCAGATGCAGATGCAGCGATCACAACGATTGGTTGTCCCGCCATACCACCATCCCACTGGTGGTAAGTAGATGCATACTGGGCATACTGATCCGGGGCCATGGATTTTCAGGGCATCCCCCATGCTTGCAGCGGCTGCTTGGCATCCGTCTTCGTTTCGGGTGCGACGGGCTCTCGCACAGCTGGCGAGCCGCGACACATCAGCCGTTTTACGTTCATGCCAATTGGGGTCCTTGATTGACGTTCATTCCCTCAATTCACATCATGTTGTCAAAAGATTGCAATCACAAGACACCAAGAGTTAAGACATGTTAAGAAGGTCAGTCCAGTTCTCACCCACCGAAACCCACCGCTCGCCCTCCGCGGTCTACCCTGCTACGGGCCATCCACCGATGCACCTTCAAATAGCAGACCTCCATGGCTGGCTCCTCCAATCGCAGGTGGATATAACCGTGGATCTCTCGAAAAGCCTTGTCGACCGCCACGAGAAGCACGTCTGAGAACTTTTCGGGCTTCAGGAGGTTCCAAATGATCCTGGGCTCCGTGCGGTTCTCGCTCCGTGCGGTGTTTTCCCTTTTTGGCATTTGATTTGCGGCATTAAGCACCTGCAAGAAGCCTTCCAGCACAAGAGAAAACGAACTGAACTTGAGAATGAGGCAAATGGTGAATTCTCGCGAGAAGCATACTGGTGTTTGCCAGCTGGGCTCATACGACCATAGGATGTACATGACCTCAAACAACTACTGGTGTGCTTCGCTTCGGATGGGCTGAAGGCTTCAGGCTTAAAACGTCGGACATCACGTGAAGTCATACGACTAAGTCATCTCGTCGTCCAGGGATTCCGACCAAATGGAGAGTCTCCCTGGAGAAGAGCATCTGAATCTGGACCACTGCATTTTAGTGTGGTGGCTTTCCTGTTGCTTGCTGGACTGTACCTATGTTCGTTCTACTGCAAGATGAAAAAGTATTGTTTTTTTAAAGTAAGGATTTCAGTCAGTGTCACAAGTCGCTGAAGTTATCTGAAGTCAAGAGCTTTCTGGTTGCAAAAATATCCGGAGGTTGAAGATGTACTGTCTTGGGTATTGACAATATGGGCATGGATCGCTTTGCTACCATGATCGGATGGTAGCGTGTTATTCAATGGCAGAACACATGTTCTTTTGGGTCATTGACATGATGAATTGTTTTTCTTCAATGTACACTGGCTGGAAACTGAAGAAAGGATAGAAAAGGGCCATTGTCCAACAGTGTGCAACGATTGGGTTTTTTTGGTATTCCGGGAGTTTTTCCATCAAACCTCTGAACAAAGGGCCACTCTCCATCTCATGTAAGCCGTGCTCAGTTCGTGCTACGAACGTCTTGCAAGTTCTCCCTAGTTCGAATTTAGGTGTTCTGTTTGATCCCTACTAAAGAAAGGAGTGTTTTTCTCCCCATCAAAATCCGAAACGAAAAACGACTTCTGACGGAGAGTGTTTCCAGCTCACCAGGTGCCAAGGATCTTGTGAGCGTCTGGCCTTGCGCAGCACGTGGAGAGACTGGAAACACCACATCGAGAGGTGTTTAGGATTTCGGGTTTCCAAGGGCAGATGCTGAAGGCCGCAAAAGTGTCTCTCAGAATTGATTCTTAAACACCACAAAATCACATGATCATATACATGATCCCAAGTCGGAATGGCCCCGCAGGGTCCAGGCGAATGTTTACTTCGGAGAAGTGTTGTGCAGCTTGAGAGCCAACTTTTTGGGCAGGAAACCATCTACCCGGCAAAGATTTGCTGGGTATTTGGTTACGTATGGAGCAGGCAAGTAGAGCATCGGATGCCACCCAACCTCTCGAAATTGCCACAGTCAACGCAGTGAAGCGACACTAGACTGTGCATTCCATTTTTTAGGTATGAGCATGTATGAGCGACACCCAAACGGAGGTTAAAGCAGTGGGCTCTTCGGATCCCGCTAGTTCAAAGGGATCGTGGGCATCCTCCCTGGCTCTTTGAGGTTGCACCCCTAAAATGGTCCCAAGTCTAAGACAAAACACCCAAGATCCAGCCAGCGACCTGCACACGCATCCCCTTGCTTTGTTCGATCCACTAAGCTTGTCATGGTCTCAGCTCCGCTTCGTCTTCACCGCTCAGCACTCCGCTCGGGACCCGGGCTCGTTGACGGGCACGCCGCTGAAGTCCGCCCACTCGTCGGGCGACATGGCGCGGCAGAGCTCGTACCCGGCGAGGTAGTCGGCGTGGTCTAACAGGAACTCCTTGGGGCGAACGAACGACGCGTCGTTCGGTGTACCGGTGGAACCTGTGGAGCTGAAGGTGGGCGGTCGAGTCGATGAACTGAACGGTGCAAGAAAACGGGGTGGTTTTGAGCATGAGTTGATGAGGGGAAAAACAAGTCCTTTCCAGGGGTGTCAGACTGGTGGAAGAACGATCTCCATGCAATTCACAACATTGGTGCACGGGCGTTCCTCATCTCGGGCGGTGCATGAGTTCTTCCTTGAACTACTCAAGCCTCAGGGACACCAGTTTGCCCAGCAAGGTTCTATCGTCGACCTTCTACACCATCCCACAACCACGAAGTGTCCCAGCTCTGAGCCATTCCAGGTAGCTTGGCCGAGCTTGGCTGTACATAGCTTGTTCTGTGTTTGCAACGGTCACTCATCTTGACAAGTCCTAAAATTTAAAATTGCCTCAATGCCTTTGCCTTTGAACGCTGGCCATTAAACATGTTACCAATGACAACCCGGGTACGCGGCAATATGGAGCATGTCAAAAACCAATTGACATGAGACTAACTGGCCAAATTGTTACAAAGCCTCACATTACATATTATAGATGTATTCTGTATTATGTCTTCGTTCTTCAGGATGATTGATTGGACAGCAATTTCACAGAAGAAATCTGATCTTCTATCCGATTCTATCCCTCACAGCTCACCCAAACAATTTGGTTCCAAAAACCAAACACTCACTTTTGAATTGGACGTACTCCCCCGCAAACTAACATAGAACCTGAGAACTGACCTGTGGAAGACCATTTTCCTCTACAACCCAGTGGTTTGGGGTTCCATGTTAATCTGCAGTGGAGTAGTTTTGTTTGAGAATCACCTTTCATGGATACGGCAGATAGATCAATGCTGTCGATGAGGATCACTACACTCCTTGAATAATACTGGAAGTGGAAAACCACCTGTTTGTCAGAGGATGTCATGGTCCAAGGGACCATTCTCCACTTCCGTGCATGATTATTTCAAGGAGAGTAGTTCTAGTTCTGGTTCTAGATTCTAGATTCTAGTTCTAGTTCTTCTTCTTCTTCTTCTTGTTGGAGCTTGGAAACGATCAACACTCCAAACAGGGAAACCTACAAACGGCATCTCTGCCGGTCAATGCATGGGAAAAAAAAACACGATCTTTCGGATGCTGAAGATTCAGGGCCTCACGTATGTGTGCTCCAAGGACGCTACAAACGTAGCTCCTGGCCTTACTACTAGTAACAAGAAGCTACGAACGGAGCCAAGGGCATCGCTACGAACGGAGCAGGGACGCTGCTAGTTGCCCCTTGTGAAACTTAGTACTCCTCAAATCCCAACTCCCTCCCCCCTGTGCCAACCCTGTTCAAACCGGAGGTTAAAACTGACCATCCCTCATGACCCCATGTCACCGTTCCAAAAAGGGTCTGAGTCACTGGAGCATTCCCCCTGGCCAACTTACTTCGCACTCGAATGCGCCAAGCATCCCTCTCAAGCACTCGAATTCGTGGTGTAGCTTCGGGTGGTGGGACGACCACTTCATACTCATTGTTGGAAGCCCAGACCTGCCAAGCTGGCCCCAGCTCGCTGGCCCCAGCTTGGTGGCTAGAAAGCAAGGTGGTTTCGGGGTGGGTGAATCGGAAGACCTCTTCATGTCCACATCACATGGTCCATCTCCATGTAGGTTTGGAGATGGTTCAAGGAGCAAACCACCTTGCAAGATTCTCTATGCATACAACTAGTCTGATTCTCAGGTGGTTGCGGATGCTAGACATTCGACAGCAGGTGTTTCAATTCCCACCACGTCGGTGACCTGGACCAGGTCCTTCACAAGAAGAGCATCCGCGCGGGTGAAACGTGAAACACGTGTGTGTTTGTGGTGATGGTTCTCTGAAGAAACTGGATCAACCATCAAAACAAAGATCAAAACAAACACACACGTGTTTCACCCACAGTAGATATAGCCCGAGATAGTAGGATCAAAGACCTGGGGTCGTGCGGTCCGAGCGATGGCGTCGCTCTGGGCCGCGCCTGACAGTTCTTGGGAACTGTGTCATCTGGAACGTCCTCATCTAGGAAGGCCCACTCACGCATGACCTGGAGAGAATAGAGGGTCGTGCGTGCGTGTTGACCCAACCCCAGCGGTGTGGTACAGTTTCGGAGCGAGGCTTCACTGCTGCGAGAAATCTGGAAAGTATAGACTGTATAGACTCTCAAAACCATGCTTTTAATCGATGCTCCTCTCAACCATCCTGAGACGAATACTCCGAACATCATGCTCGTCTCATCATCTTCCTTGACGTTGAACCCACTCTGAAATGATGCCTCAAGTGTGACACCATCGCAACAATGGGTCAGGGGGGCGTACGACAGCCGACCCATTTCATCCCACCTGCCCTTCTGTCTCCCCAATCTCAACAAATCATCTTAAGATCCATATATTAAGTACAACACAATTTTACTATACGTATTTATATATTACACATAATATAACCCATGAAATCCTTTCTCATCTTCTCCCAGATCCTCCTCCAATCCAGCCCACCCCACGCCGTCCACCCCCCCTCCGGCCTCTGGGCCCTGGCAGCGATACGCCAAGTCCCCGCGGAAACGCTTCCAGAGCGCCGTGGAGTCCTCGCGCTCGAGGCGCCGGCGCTTGGGCGAGGGCGTCTCCGGTTGGTTCTTGCGCTTGGCGATGAAGGCCTGGCGATGGCACGGGGGGTTGGGGGTTTTCAAGCGTGGGTGGGTGTAACCAGGGAGCTGATGGTAGGCTGAAGGAATCAAAAGAATATGAGGAAAACAGATGAACATAGACATCTTATGACATCTCTAGTAGTAATTACGATGAAGAGCTGGATTCCAAGGACTCTCTGAGACTCTTTTCTCAGCTCTGGCAAGGTGCTTCCAGCTGACCAAAACCTCTTCGTTTCTGACCCCACCTTGCGGAAGATGGGGTTGCCAAAGAAGGGCGGCCGACGGCCATGAAGGTCCTCCGGCCGGTGCATCGGAGGTTCCGTGGCTCCACATGGCGTATCAGAACTATGCCGTTCTTTGGGGCGGGGTCGGCCGCTAGAAGAGGTAAGAAGAGGTAGGGAACGAAGAGTAGCTACTAGTAAGCTACTTGGGACGCAGGATAGGGCGGCGGGGGAGCTTCCTTGAAGAAGCGCGCGCACTGTTCATTTGGTTCCTAGATTTGAGGGACAGGCAAACTTAACTTGTTAAAACCTTTTGTCTCACAAGACAAAGGAAACCCAGAAGATCAGGTTGTATCGACCGGACGACACACGAGGCGACCGGCGGGAGTGCGAAGACCGGTGTGCCGTTAAGCGAAAATGCCTCGCCCACGACCGGTGGGCCGTTTTGCTTCGGGGTTTCTCGGCACAAGGAGTTTGTCTTGAAAGAAACATTGAAGAACCTAAATGAGCTGGGAACATTCGTACAGTTGGGAAACCATCCAGGGCCTGGGTCATTCTAGAAACATAAAGAAATCAAATACTCCACAAAGTTCGTGCGAACACCCAATCCGGTTGGTCAACTGGATGCATGCCACTTCATGCCAATCTCCATCTTTTTTGAGACCGTCTAGCAGAGTCTTCCTTTAACCTCCCACCAACTACGTGCTTCGCATGAGCTAGTTCCCAAGGCCTATAGTGCAACGGACTAGTTTTGGATTGGAGTAGTGTTAATTAACATTCCAGAAGTAGTTGTATACCAACAAGAAAGCTGCACACCCTCACGCACCCAATCCAAGACCAACTCCAATCTGAAACACATCCCAGCATTTCTTGTCTGTCCAAACAAGCAACATCCCAGCATTTCAAGGCCCCGGAAAGAGAAAAGAGCCGATTTCCACGCCAAACGATCGATGAATATCGATCCGCCGGAATGACGGGTCTGACGGATCCTTTGGGTGCATGGAGGCGCCAAGTTCATTGGTGAGCTTCAGGACCATCTCCATTTGACTGTGCCTGACTGAAACTCCGAGCGCCGAGAAACTCGGGCCCATGGGTCCAAGGCCGAAAACCACATTTGTTCACAACCGCTTCGGGTAAATGGCTAAGGCAAAAGGATCAAGGACTTTTCACAGTGGTTTCTGCCTACTGCCCCATGTCCCTTTGCTCCTCTCAGTGCTGTGGCAGGCACCCAGCTTTCGGAAAATTCAAGTGCCGTCTCACTTCGGCCCACCGTGTTTCCGTTCGAAAAAAGGCCGCGCGCGGACGACGGTCCGAAAGAGAACGTTTTCGGACTCCCGAGAGCCGCACCTGAAGGCGATACAGAGAGGCGTTTGTCCTCTCAAGTCCGAGTGGTTCACGTGGCAGCCCTGCGAGATCAGCCATGAAGCACATTGGAGGTTGCCCTCCTGACGGACGGACGAAGGACGAGGAAAGCAGGAGTGAGTCATGGTGCGCAATGCGCGTTGGTTTCAGAGCCCCAAAAGAGAACAAAGAGGGAACTTGGAAGGTCGTGAACCTAGAGGGAGACTGTATCTGCTCGATTGTTCCTTTGTTTGGCAAGTGTGGAAGCTTGGATGAAGGCCCGGAAGTCCAGCGAATGCAAAAGGCCATTGCTTCAGGGTCTCAGTCAAAGATTCAACTACTTTCCAGCTTGTCGCCTTTCAGGGCCTGTTCTCATCATACGAGTGTTCGGTTGAGATGGTCTGTACCACAAAACTGTGTCTCTGGCCTGGGCAGCAGCGAAGAGAGGGGTCTGATCCTCAGTGAGTCAAGGCCCCAAAAAATGCCACGAGACCGCGCGAGGAAGATGTTTGCAGCACTTGTGCAGCATGAGAGAATGTCGTGTACACGATACAATACCGCATAATACCGTCGAATTACAATAAATGACATGGTTTTCCCGAGGGAAAGGTGCGCCCCTCGGCAAGTGATGTGGCCATCCAAAACCTCCACAGTTCCACTTGAAAGCTAGCAGTAAAGAACAATCTTCTGGTGAGTTCTGTTGGGTGCAGGATTGCCAGTTGGCTCGGGAAACGTCAGCCCAGTTCAACAGTTGGACTACCAAGACCAAGTTCGAGTCTGTTTTTTGCGGATCCATACGAGGAACCTCTCAGGAGTCTGAAGTGCCATCTATCAAAATTCTACCTGTCCTAAATGAAGCAATTGAGCTGTTACTCCATCCAAACATGCCAGCAACTAGACTCTAGACCTAGCAAGGACTACATTGGACTGTGGTCACCCATCTCCTTCTCGAATCAGATCAATGAGAAGAACACCTCCCAAAGCCTCTCCAGAACCATCCAACCAGAACCATCCCATCCTTTCCCTCCTTTCCATCCTTTCCATCCTCCCCATCCCCCCACCATAACCCATCCCCATGTGCCGAGGCACATACACATCGCGAGCCGAGGGATCCAGTCCTCGGGCCTCTAAGACCTGGCAAATCTCCTCGGCGCCGCCCTTGCTGCTCGGCCGCCCCGCCGCGGCGAACATCAGCGTCTGCCCATGCTGGTTCAGCACCTGCCCCCAACCGGAAGGAGGACGCGAGCAGAGGGCCGCATGCTGCTCATGGCGTTTGGTGAAGTGTGGAGGGTGGAGGTGGGAGTTGGGATGGTTGGGTGGAATTAGACCTGACCAAAAGCCTCGGTTGGTAAAGGAGATTGGTGGCAACCAACACTCTACGCCTCCTAGAGGTCAATTTGAGATGTCAATTGAAATCACCTCCATCAGTAGGGCGACATGTACCACCCCCTTTTCTCGCGCAGCCATGATGTTCACCCGTTCCATGATGTTCCCATCAGCCTGCCTCCAGATTGGCTTCCCGCGCAACTTCGAGGGCCTTCTTCTTTGAGGCCGAATTAACCAAAGTGAAGTCGTCCTGGAAATTGGTGGTCAGTCTGCCAGTCAATACCGTACATTAAGGTTGCTTGAATTGAAGTATTCATGGTTCCAGATCCAAAAATAACGTGTCTTCGCCATAGATGTCCCTTTTCATAGATGTCCATTTGCCTACCATGGATTGGATGCTTAGGGTCGGGTCAATTTAAGATGCATATGGAATGTGCTGGAGTGAGTGCTATCCCACTTTGTTCCGCCTTCCTCATCAGTCCGCCCACAGGTGTCTGTGTTGTACAGATTCAATTCGTGCCACAATAAGCCCTTCAGCCCTGCTTTTGGGTGCAAAGCTCTATTTAGGGTGGCTCATGGCTTGAGACATGGATCACCACGTACATGGTCCATAATACTGGGGTTTTCATCTAGATGAGAGCTCCTGATGGAAGCGAGGGATATATATAACTTGGACATCCATCTCTGTAAGTCAGCGGATTGCAAGTCGCTCATCTCTGAGGTTCTTGGAGTGGCCAGTGAATACATCCACTTCCTGTACTCTGATAGACTGATAGCAAGCTGGGCCTCAAGTCTCCCTCCCACACACCTGTACTGCAGTGTAGCTATACCATACCTTGGCCGGTGACCAGCTCCTCCTTTGCTTAGCAGGATTGGAGAAAAAAACTGCACAGACAAAAAAAAACTGACCACAGACCCATCACCGCAGCGCAAAAAGTGGCTAAGGTGAGTCGGGATGCCCTTGAAACAGCTCCAAACAGGAAGTCCCAAGAGATTGAGCCCTCCCGCATACAAAGACGATAGACTCCGATAGACATGTTAATCATGTTAAACATTAACAAAAAAATAACTATCATTAGTCAAACAATTTCAAACAACAATATGTGCTATATCATATGCACAATATGACATTAATTCGCCTTCAACACCAACTCTGCACATCCCCAGCTCTGCCAGCTCGCGTGGTCCTTCATCACCATCGCCCGCCCCCGTGCCCCCAACTTCGTCATCGGCCACCCACACCGCGGTGCCCCAGTCGCTCCGATCGAGCCATGAAGGTCGGCCAGATTCGGTGGTCGGGTCAGGGGGTGGTTCAGAGCATTTCGGGTTCAGGTTTGAGAACTTGTTTGGTCAGGGCTCAAGATCTTTGCCGAAGATCTCAGAGATCTTTGTTTCAGAGGGCAAAGGATCAGATTAGATTAGATTTGTGGGGAGTTCTGAGTTCAGGGGGGCTGAATGAGATCGATTCAAGAAAGCGGACTGAGTACTGCAGGGACAGAAAAAAGTACGTGTCTTCCGTGTCTTGATCGGGGACAGTAACGTGGAAAAGCCATCCTTCTATTGGAGGTTCAAGCCCAAAGCAGGTGGACAACAGCCCTGGGTGGAATGGGCCGCTGTTAACTACAAGTTCTTGCAATTTCCAGCTGAGAACAATGGAGCTCCTGATGCTCCTGGGGGAAACCGAGCAGCGCTGAGAACCATCCACTCCATGAACCGAGATCGTCTGAGAAGGTCTCCGAACCAACCACCCGTTGCCACCCGTTGCCACCCGTTGCCACCGTTCGATCCGCATCTGCATTGCTCCTGTGGCCTCCGGACGGGCTGTCAAAGAGATAGGCGAAGCGGCTCTCCAAGCCTCGTGGCGACACGCGACGCACCGACACGCGACGCACCAGCTGGCGATGCACGTGAACATCGGGACGGGGACGGGAGCTGAAGGGAAGAGCTGTGGTTTTTAGGGGAGCTTTAAGTGGATGTATGTCTGTATACATGAACATGAAAAACCAACACCTCGTCAATCCTTAGATGCCTGGAGATCTTGTTTGAAGCACCTGAGAAGTCAGTCTAATCGAAGTCAGTCTATAAAACTCCGTCCCATCACCGACCTGAAACCACCTTCCCATCCTCCCCGGACAACACCGCTCTCACCGGTGCCGCGCCTACTGGGTAGAGAGCGCCCTCGTCCAGTGAGGCTGGCATCGAACCCTGCGTCCGGGTGCATCGACGAACGTGTTTCAACGGGGATGCCGTGGATTTGGAGTGACCCCCCCCCAAAGAAAACATGGGGGGGCCAAGTCCTCTACGCTCTCTTCGGTGTGCAGATCTTGTCAAGATCGCAGGTTGAAATGGGAACGTCTGCCCGCTGCTGTGCTATTGAAGCGCCCCTTAAAAGAAGTGGTCGGCTGGCGCAAATCAGTGTCTTAACCTGAAGGACTCCACGAATGATTCAAGGACAAAACATCCCATCTCCAGTTGACCTCCAACCAGGTGTTTGTATCTGGATTTTAGCGCTCTCCACTCAAAGTCTTGCACCATAAACATCAGTCAGATGCGGGGATCTCAGATCCCTGTAGTGATCACCACATCCGAGCTTGAACGCCCCTATTACCAAGTATAAATATATATATATAATATGTGTCACATCACAGCCTCTGATTAAACTTCATGTCACGTCACAGCCCCTCTCCAATTAGTTTTGTACACAACTGTTTAGAGTTTAGTCGAGGGCGGAGGGGGTAGCTTCGCTCGGTTCTTTCAAAGGCTTGCAAGGGAGTCCATGCTGTTCCACAGCCGGCACTGGGTGGGTACCCTGCCAATGTCGTGTTCCTAGTTCCCGCCGAATCCACACGCTGCATTACGCCCCTCTTCTCCACAACTTCAAGCACATCACAAGCTGTCGGATGGGCACAAGTCCCGGTCGCAATTGGTTGCTTCCAGGAGCAGTGAATTTAATGCAGAAAACATCAGGCGAATTTTGCGTGGCAGCAAGGTGGCAATCTCTGAACTCTTGAGCTTTGAGAGATCTTCTCAGCGGAATGTCAATGTCATCATATGTCACCTATGAAGCTCAGATGGGTTTGGCCTTTTGATGAATTTGTAGATTCTAAAGCGACTAGTAGCAAGGACGCTATTAGGTGGAGGCCATCGCAAGTAGGTTGGAGGCCATCGCTACTATATAGAAACAAGAAGCTAAGACTTTGGGCCTCTGAAAACGGGTGCCACGCTCGCCAAACTGCGCAGTGACCATGCACGCGAGCAGTGACCAAAGCAACCAGCTCCCGGGCGTGGAAGAAGGACTGTTCCACGGGTGTCGGTCGCTGTTGGATCACTGTTGGATCGCCTAAACAACTACACTCGACGGGGGTTGTGAGGCAGGGAAGGTGCTTATGTCGGATTCGTGGAATAGAGCTCTCTTCGCAACGAGAAACCACATGAAGGCGCACGTTGATCTTCAATGTGACGGACATTCTTTCTGTCTTGGTGGGGCACCCCTTGGCCCGTAATAACCATCCAAATCAGATGGTCTTGTATAATCATCTTGACAATGGTTCCTCTCAAAGATTTGAACACTCGACTGCTACCAATTTAGGGTCACACGATGACTTTGTACAAACTGCCACGACCATTCTGTGACTTCTAACGTCTGAGCAAGTTCTCATCACTCGCGGCGTGCCTTTGAACCACCTTATCCAGCACCCACCCACCCTACAACCCATCTTTGCCAGAGCACGAACCTCAGCACCCTCAAGTGGTTCACCTGCTCAGGCAACTTCCTGGCGTCCGTCGACCGTGCATTTTCCCGATCAAACAGAGGTGCGGTCGTTTCGTGCAACAGCTGGTTAAGACCCCGCTCGGCGACCAATCACACCCCTCTGCTGCGATGTCCCGAAACTCTTCTGAGACGTTATAAGTTCAGAGGTTGAAAAACTCACAGAATGAGACGTTATAAAACCAGTTGGTGAGGTTATGACGTTATAACTTATAACTTACACCTTGGTGTCTCCAGAGCTTGAACAACTCACACCGTCCCTCTTCGTCTCTCTTCGTCTCTCGTCGTGGCTTTTTCTTGTTGAGACCTCAGAGTGTTGAGTCGGGTCCGTTTTTGGAAAAACACCATGCAGTCACGAATCACCAGTGTCACGAACAGTCACGAATCACCTGGAAGACATGGGAGTTCGACACCGAAAAACATGTCGACCTTGAACAGAGTCGGACATCGAGTGGTTGAACAAAAATCTTTGGATTTCTCCAGTAGGCTCTAGCCACAACCGTCTAAGCTGTGAAAATCTCCAAACCAGGATCACTTGACTTTAACAGTTCACTTGCCCAAGGGTTCATTGTGGAATCTAAAAATTAGCTGGGCTGGAGTACTGAAGCATTTTGGAAATATGTAGCTCACATATAGTTGTCAATGACATTCCAGAGCCCTCCCACAAACCCCTCCTGCAGATCCTCAAGGGAGTTGCAGGCCAAAAATTACCTAAGCTCGCCGCTCGCCACGTTCTGGCCGCCACTTCGATGGATGCGCACCCACATAACGGCCTGTTACCCTCATCCCCTCAAGAGAAGCTGGAAAGAACATGGTCACAAATGAGGTGTTCTATGCCCATCTGTGAACCCCAAGTACCGATCCAAAAGAACAGACGAACCCGTTTGTCACCAGATCCCGAGGGTCAACAAAGAAGCAGACAGACCCAGGTGAGTGATTAGCTGTGCGCGGAATCAAGGATCTTGAGGGATATGCATCACACTCCTTCGAATCAGCATGGTTACGTGGAGTTCACCACCTGCAGTGGTATTCGGATGATTCAGGGTCATCCGAACGAAAGGGTCCATGCCATCCACTTCCATTGATGATTCCAGGGAGTGTAGGATCTATGGACATGTCTTAATCTGTATTATATATTCATACTAATTATATAGGAGTGTTGGGCATGTTGGGTAGTTCGTTTAGAGCGTCAACATGTCTTCGACATCCCTTTCATGATCCAACCGGTTTGTCACGACAGTCGCCAGGCATGCCATGCCGACCGGTCTTGCCAGGCTGCACGCTTTTGTCCCATGAGCTTTGGTGGCTCCCAGGTCGATTGGCTGCTCTCCTTCCATCGAAAATACCTGCAGGTCTACTTGGCGACCGGTCGGGATGGAGTCTATAGGTCCGTGCCGGAGACTGGGCCGTCGCAAGACGACCGTGGCGGATGTCTGAATCAGCACGACGGGCCGGCGACATCGACATGTGGTGTACGTCTGGGTCTCCAAACACCCCAAAACATGGGGCACTTGAAAGGCCGTTTTGTTGAACAGTTGAGTTCTCAACACCACATTCCGGAATTGCATCCAAAAAGGTGGGTTCACCCATGCTTCTTTTCTTAAGTGTTCTTAGGGTTCCGTGCACTTGTTTCACAGTCAGTCTTGTGATTACTTTTTGAGTTGCTGGAGTGTATCAGCACCATCCAGCAACAGCACGGACAGGGATCAAAGAATGGTTTGGACTACAAAGCCTTGTCTCACATCCAATTGACCTCTTCCCTGTCTATCCACAATTCCCTTGTCTAAATGCTAATGCATTCCGAAACACCCACACTTCAACCCGCCGATGGCAGTGAAGCATGGCTGCAAATACCTGGGTGGCCATCTTGGTCCCGTGTGTCGATCCTTCAGAGATGATAGACAACCCTAGAAGGAAAATGCCCCGCATACCCACATATGTAGTGATACTTATATGTGTCTCCAACTCATTCCAACCCGAATAATTGTATGGGTCCTTGATCAATAACATGATTTCCAACTACTACTATCCAATCCTGAAGCAGCAAGAATATGTCCCGTCCTAGTTTTTGTTGATCCGACCAAATTCCTGTACGTGGGAATCATACGTTGGGTTTTGCTCATGTTTCCTGTATCAAGTCTCAACCAGCATTAGTTTCTGGCCGTGGCTTCTTTCCCTCTAAGTGAAATGAAACCAATTACTGTAAGTTTGGCGATTGATACCGCTCTGCTTGTCAACCCGCCCGCACATTGACATAGCCCCCACCATTGCACTGTAGTGTTTCTCGTCAAAATCATGACCTTTCTTATTATTGTCTGTGGTCGCCACTCCTACTCACCCCGCCCCAACTTCAAAAATGAGCAAAAGGTTGATCGTGCCAGTGATGCACAAAATTTATGGCTAGAGGGACCTGGGGATGGTCAGGGGAGGTCGCCCCCCATCACGTTGTGCCATCTGAAGCAACAAGCACAGGTTTGGTCCAATCCTCATGAATGCAGTATCCTCCCTCTTCAACCAACACCTGAGGAATCCTCGGCGTCAGCTGCTGCGCTGCCCTGGGCCGAGCGGCACCTTCCGGACCAGCTCCAAGGGCTGCTCACCACCGACCACGAAGACCACCGCTTGGCCTGACGCAGTCGGCACAAGCGGGACAAGAAGTGGGGAAATTGTGGAGACCAGGTGGGTTTCCTGTAACTCCCGGCTTGGAGCGCGTTTTAGTTTGTTGAGATACATGGACATGGAAAATCATTTCAAAATCAAAACATCATCTCAGCAAAGTGTCTTGCAACGTTTTTCTGGTCTTTTGCTTGTGGTTGCTACCATTGCACATTTCTGAACAGTTGAAAAGCACCTCTGCGAAAGCGCGAGGTGAGTTGACATATTGAATGTCGACCTGGCTTCAACAAATATGCTGTCTACCTAAGGTCTACCTACCTTGTTTTCACGCCTGCGCTGTCAGATTATGGGATCACTTTTACGGATTGATTTCAGCTTTTGACTTCCAATGTTGGGCAGTTTGAACTGCATGTTCCAAGAGGTGTATTCATGTTCTGTTTGCACATGTCACCTCTTTAAAAGAAATATGCATGCCTGTGTTCAAAAATTTTGCTCTTCCAGCTTCACTTCCAACCCTTTGGCTGTCATTTCCAAACCCCTCGGATGTCATTCCCAAGCCTTTGGGATGTCATTCCCAAGCCCTTTCGATGTCATTTGCAAGGATTTCAAGCCCAAATCTTTTGGATTTCACTTCCTCAATCCCATTGGCTTTAGTTTCCCAAGTGGGGGAGAAGTGGAAAATTGTCCGCAGCTTGCTCATGAAGAGGCCCATGTCCTCAGAAGCGATCAGGTTGCATCCAATTTGTGACAGTGTGGGACTTTGGAGGTCACCAAGCTCAGTGTTGGCCGTCAAGCCCGGATCAACATGACCAGCAAAAACCAGCGAACTTTGAACTGAGGAGCGGCATCATCCTCCAGCTTCAAGGTCATCACATATACCGAGCCTACTCCCCATGGTTCGGTGACTGAGGTGGTTACGGACATCATCGGCTTCAGCGCCCACACCACTCGGCCGGCATGTTTCGGTTCAATGGCAGGCCACTCGAAGCCTTTAGCTTCATCAACCTTTTTTCCCGAAAGCACCTGCGAAGGGTTTTTCCTTAAGCACTGCTGCCTATTTCATCTTCCTTAATCTCTTTCTCTTACTTCATCTTCCCCACTCTCTCTTCCTTACTCTCTTTCTCTTACTTCATCTTCCCCACTCTCTCTTCCTGACTCTCTTTATCCTACTTCACCTTCCTTACTTCATATTCTTTACTAACTTTCTCCTACTTCACCCTCACAACATCATCATCTAATCATCACCTCATAGGTTATTAATCTCATATCATATCATATTATATCATATCAGGTTATAATATCATATCACATCACATCAATGTCATAACATATCATATCATATCATGTTTTAATATCATATCACATCACATCAATGTCAGATCATATCATCTCATATCATGTGATAAAATAATATCACATCACAACATAACATATGAAGTAGAAGTATCAGATCAACAATATCAAAGTACATCAGAAGTAGATATTGATAGGTAGGTATTGATAAGTGGGTATAGACAGGTAGGTGTAGGTAGGTAGGTGTAGATAGGTAGGTGAAGATAGGTAGGTGAAGATAGGTAGGTGTAGACATCTTCCTTAAGACACCTACCCAACTTCACCTACCCAACTTCTTCTTTATTCTTCTCTTTAGGCGGCGGGGCGGTGCGAGCAGGTCTTACGAAACGCAACCCTCTCGTGGAATCGTGGCCATCGATCGCGCGCGCGTGTGGTGAGACGCGAATCGCGTTTGTCCGTGAGCAACCCTCTGCGGAGATCGTGCGTGTCGATCGCGCGAACGTGTGGTGAAACGTACATTTTTGGTGTGCGCGGTGCGTTCCGCCATTATAATTCTGGTGACAAGGTTTTGTCGATTTTGCGTTTCCCCATTGTAATTCTGGTTTCAAGGTTTGCCCTCGAGCAACCCTCTGCGGAGATCGTGCGTGTCGAGTGCACGAACGTGTGGTGAAACGTACATTTTGTCTGAGCGCGGCTGGGCGCACCATTATAATTCTGGTCACAAGGATGTCGCCAATGTGCGGTCCGGACCGCATACTCATTGGGAAATGCGATTCCAAGGTCTGTGCCCGGTCTGTGCCCGGATCGTTCCCCCATTATAGTTCTGGTCGCAATGATGTCGTGAATGTCACCTCTGAACTTTCTACAATGCGCGCTCTGGACGTCATACTCGTTGGGAACCGCGATTTCATGGTTTGTGCTCGGATCGTTTCCCCATTGTAATTCTGGTCACAACGATGTCTCCAATGTGTGCTGTGGACTTCATACTCGTTGGGAAATGCGATTTCATGGTCTGTGCCC